TAATAATAACAACCTATGTGTCAATTAATGGGTTTTTTATGGGATTTTTTCTCAAGAACCTTTTCTCATAGTTTCTCCCCAAATCTTTTTTTTTTTAATTTTAATGGGAGAAACTCCCTTAGATACCCACATAAAAACCCCATTAAAAATGCTTCTAGCATGTTAGAGTTTAATCGACCGACTCATATTTGTATATATACTTTGTATTTCTCTTTGAAAGAGATCCACATCTAAATAAGATACAAGACTTAAATTCTCTTCATCTTCCGTTTGATCTTTTAATTATTATTCTCATAAATCTAGTTTATTTTTAATTGTTTAGAGGATTTGAATAGGCTACGCAATCCAAATTCATTGTTTTAACAAGATTACATGAAAACGAGTTCCACCATATACGAACATATTATTTTGAAAAAAAAAGATTTTTGCTAATAAAACGTTTTTACAAATTGTAGAGATTGGTTTATGTTGCAGTTCTGATCTAGCTACGAACAAAAAAATTGCAAGTTTGTAAAAAAAGTTAGTATAGTAACATACCTAATTGCAAAATTAGTCTTGTTGGTTAAAAAAGTATCAAAGAAAAACAACATCCAAAATAACATATTCTACCGAATAATTCCGATATGGATATACATTAGAAAGATGTACAAAGATACAAGTAACAACTAAATCGCAAAATAGATTTTCCCGTATCTTTTTTACACATTCCTTCCTACACTAGATATCTATATATCAAATTCTCGAAATTATATGAGTCCCTTTTTATCCAGTTTAACGAAGTTCATCTTTACATATATCTCTATGAATTTCAGTCAAATTTATCCCAACAAAACAAAAAGAGAGAGAGAGGGAAGATGTTGGCATATTTTAGAATTATAATAAACACCAAAACCTTTGACTTTTTAAAATAACTAAAGTATTCCTCTATATATAATTAAGCCATCTATCTATCTAACTCAAGAGACCAAACTTCTCCAAAACAAAATTTAATCAAACTCTCAATTTCTCTTTTAGGTTTCAAAGATGAGACGTTCATGGCCAACACGCCTCATCTTCTTGATGATTCTCACCATTATCGTCACCATGATTGCAGTAGCTTATTCATCATCAAATCATAAGTTTCCTCATTACAAGTATAAAGCCCCAGCTCCTCCAACGACATATTCTCCTTACCGGTATTTCTCACCACCTCCGGTGACAGATTCAGATTCTGGAGCTTACGATCGATGAAACGCATTGGAGTACGTGGTTTTTATGTTTTGGTATATCAACACTTTAATTATGGGTTTATTTCATTCT